GAAGCGAGAGTCTTGTTCTCTTGAATTCGTTGGCCGGTGTCACATGGCGGCGGCGCGGCGATCCTCCGACTCCAGAGACCGCTCCACGCCGGCACAGTCGCTTAGTGTTTGTATTACGCTCGCCTCGGGCGTATGATGTACTCTTCTCCCCTCCTTGGTTCTATGTATGTAGCATCCTCGCGTTTCTCGTATTATGCGGTCCCCTAGCGCTGCATTCGAGGAAGAGAGACGGGGGAGGGATGTCAGAGTTGCGTGGGTACAGGCCGACGCGGCGTCGAAACAACACCCAGAACCGCGTCCTATGACAGTAAATACGGCAGAAAATAATTCTATTTATCTATCGCTGTCTAGTCGCGGCGAATAGAACGTCTCGACATCCTCTTGTTCTCCCGAAGTAAGGTCGCTTCTGTGTCTGTTGTCGTCACAGACACAATCGACCGAGCTGGTCCCCCTAATCGTACGGTGGAATCAACCAAGTGCTGCGATTCGTAGATCTGACCGAAATCTCCATTGGCGAGCTGTTCGACGTCATGGAATAGGAGCAGGAAGAGGCGCATTGTATGCGGGGAAGAGGGAACTGAATCACCACCTAAATTAAGTCACATCTCCCCGATTCCTCCGTCCACTGCGCGCCATCGCTATTCTCTCGCTGTCTGCGGGTCCGCTTGTGCTCTTCCCACCGAAAATCGCTCCTTTCTTCTTGCCATGGAATGCCCTCGTTGTTTTGGCAGACGTCTCGTCTACCCTCCGCCAGTTCTTTTCCCACTCGATCGTTCACCCAGAGGTCCGGGAAAGAGGGCAGCCCGAAGGAATCTGTGAAGGGGCTTCTCTCATGGGCGCGGGTGGAATGACTGAAATTCGTGGTGACGCATTAGCGGAGGCCTTCCGGTTCGAATTACGGATAGATTAACGCGAATTGATTACAGCGATTAATAAATATACCGGTGCGGTTGCTCCTACTCAGATTTCATGCGAAACTTTCGTGCTTACCGGGAATTATTGCTCTCCTCGGGAGCTCGAGTTCCGAGTCGAAAGGCTCGAACAGGGAACTTCTTGGAAAAAGTTTGGGAGGTTTTCCATGGAAGCCGTCCCGGAGCAGAATGGGTCACCAAACCTCTCCGGTGAATCGCGGACAGAAATTTCTCACTTTTCAATGGGGCGACTATACTTCCTGCCTGAATCTGACACGCCATTGCTCTCCGATAGCAGCCTCGAACAGGAGATCGGCCTGTAACGATGACCTCGGACAGAATCCCAGGAATACGTGGATGGATGGTCGGAGCCGCAGCGAGGTCACTGGCGAACGCAAGATCCTTTCCAAGGTTCGACGGCACAACCTTCATTCCGGAGGCGTTCGATTCTGAACCTCTGTTCGCTTTGTTTTCTTCACGCGTCGTGAGGGATCTCACGAGTGCGTTGCGTACCTATTTAATCTTTGGGGATTCGAGAGATGAGCCAGCCGCCATCGAAGCGAATGGAAGTCTGACAAAAACATGACAGGGACTTGTCGCTCCTGCATCAATCTTTTCCGCAAGTTCCGATCGGTATGATGAGTTCCCAACGAGCAGCATAAGTTGTATTTCTCTTCCTTCTCGCGTTTTATTGTGCTCTCGCCTCCAATCCTAGCCATGGCCCAGGAGGGAACTCAAGCCCGCCACCGCTTTGCACGATCCTTGCTCATCGTTCATGGCCTCCCCCAAGTCCCTTGTTCGCTTGCGGCGAGCTCGATGGTTGGAGCTCGGGCTCTAACTGGTGGTGCTTCTTTATTTTCCCACGACCGATGGGGGATGGGACTTCCTTGCTTCAGTCTGCCTTTCTGTTCCGGTGAGCGGAAAAACGGGAATAGCCTCCGCTCGGGCAATATTAAACTGAGGGAAAAAAGCCGAGGAAACAAAAAAAACGGAGGGAATAGAGGGCGAGTCGAGCGAGCGTGGGCGGAGAGATTTCCTAGTGTTCGGATTGAGAATACGAACTCAAGTCACAGGCACGGGGATCCGAGGGAGCCACGCCGTCTCGGGAAGGGAAGTTCCGTATGAGTTGCGGGTCTCCGTAGGATGAGTGGCACCTTCGACGAGCGCGACATCAGCAGCGACGTCGAATGTCGATACACGTTCGTTTCGTTGCTAATGAGCGTCCAGCCTCTCTTTTCTTGTCGCGGTCCCACTCATAGTTCCTTGAGCTTAGAACGCGTCGTGCCGGGGAAAGTTACGTTTATCATTCCTCCATCTATTTTCATCCTTGTCTGTTCCCCTGCGATCATTTTCCAAGCTTCGAGTGACACGATCATACGTTGTGCGCTCGATGGCGACGAGACGCGTTAATGAACCTGCAGTCGCATTCCTACGCTAAGTAAACTCAACACGGCACCTGCTTGCTGATCGAGGTGATGATTGCGAGTGGTGACAGGGGCGCGGGAGACAAATTCATGCGCTTCAAAAGTACATGAACGCATCATACCGTTGATCGGAGACTCCGTCGCCGTCTTTTCCGACTATTACCGGAGTGCCCCATCAGATCTTGGAAACGGCAGAGACTTTCGGAGCTGTATGAGCCGCATGAAGCCAGCGCTTCTCGGCATTGGGGGAGATCTTTTGTCAAAGTAAGACAAGGTACGACGTCTGTGTCTTCCCAACCAGAGCTGCTGTGGCCTAGACGTGTCCCTCGCGACTAGTCTCTCCAAATGCCTCTCACGAGGCCATTGTACCTTCATGAAGTCTTTGTTGCCGCTGCCGTTGAGAAAGAAGACCACATTCCGCTTTATGCTTCTGTTGATTCGTTGATGCACGTTTAGAGCCCCCTGACGAACGTGGCACGGATTTTTCAAAAGCTCTCCGAGACTCTCGTCGCGTTTCATCACTGCCAGAGTGAGTTTAAAGTTTGGATTCGCGCCAGCTAGCCGAGGCACTATTGGAGCGAGTGAGTGAGTGAGTGAGAAAGAGAGCGAGCAACTAAGCGACTCACTCATCAGCTCGGACAAACATCGGCCCGAAGACCTGTCGCTCTGAAGAGGAAACCCCACAATATTGTGAAGTTGGAGCCTTCTCCGAGTGGAGGACTTTTGAGGAGTTTCCGATGTGATGCAACGAGACGAAGAAGTTTGATGGATGAGTTCATGAAGAATCGTTCGATGTCTCGTCACCCCAATATATGTACTCCATCGCCATCGACGCTTTCAATAACAGCAAAAATGCTCCCCGATCGCAGACCTTGCCCTGGAATACTCGACGATCAAACTACTTCGACCGATGCTTTTGAGAGATTTTCCTCGGGGTGAAGGCGGGAGAATTCCCGCACGGTATCGATCGGAGCATCGTTAGAATTTTCTACCGCATAAAATCGTCGTCCGTTCAAGGCAAAGTTGCTTTTCGTCGTGCTACAGAGACACGCAAAGCGTACGGGGGCTTGGGGGTGGGGGAAGGGACGGGGGTCATGACGGCATGGCCCCCTCCCCCATTTCCCCCTCTAAATTTTCCGTCCTGCTCTTCGAACCAAGACCTCAGGGAGGGGTCTCATGATTCCGATCCCCCTGCCCCGTCACTAGTTCACCTTATCGCGAAACACTGGCAATGCCCCGGACATGGACTGTACCCGTGTGAACTGCGTGGTCTTCGCGGCAACTCGCCTGTGTGCGATTCCCTCCTTCGAGGCTCCCGCTTTTTCCCTACGGTGGTGCCGAGTGCCGTCGCTCCGGTACTGCAGTCGTTTCTATCCGACCATTCATTCTTTCGGCAGCCGATCGTGCCGCACGAGGAGCCACGCGACGAATCGACGGAACATTTGCTGACGGCACGGGGAAATTTATTGTCGATAACCTTGTTGCCGACGCATCCTGAACCCTCCGCATCGAGTCCGCAGGAATACCTGCTCAACATGCGGTTCGAGGATCCATGTTTCGGATGATTACCGTTAGCTGCCCGCGTTCTCGGGGGCTGTCAGGCAGCGTATAAATTCGCTTTGTCGTTCACTCACCAGTTTATGCTGTGGACCCATCGTCGACACCACCGCAATGTAGGTACGCGGTGTGGTCTTGCTTGGTGATGCTTCCCAACGGCATAAGTCAGTCTCATGTGAGAGACTATTTATTCTATTAGGTCTTTTGCGGAAAGCCACGTTAGAAGCATTCGTTATTAAAACATCATGAGACGCTGGGCCTGCATCTTAAAGAGCCCGAGGCAGTTTTCGCTAAGCGCCGTCTTCCGGCTAAGCGGACCTAATCGTCGGTGGTCGACTCCGCTACTACCCTCGCCTAGATCGAAATCTTGCCACATGCTATAAGCGAAGTTTATTTCCTGTACCAAGCATTGGGAAGTTAACAGATGCACTGTCTGCTCAGATGGAGGGGTTCGGCGGGAAAATTCCACAAACAAGCGATCCGACGGGCGGCGTGGGACCACTGCCGCCTGTGGAGAGCTTGAGAAGAAATTGCTCATTTAGTCGGGTCGCCTGATGTGGAGCGCTGCCAGGTTGGCTGTCTCTCCGGTTAATCGGACGGACGCGCTATTAACGAAGCCATTCCGGGGGGCTTCCCGGGATCCCCTGCTCTTTCGCGTTGATCATTGAGCTCTGATCGAACGGGATGGTCCCTATAGTATGCAAACGAGCTCGCGAGCTAACGTTCAAGGTTTGGCACCTTCGGAACGACGGCGACGCCTCGTAGGACTCGCGTCGAGGTGTTTCTCTTCGATCGGGCTCCGGGGAGCTCAGGGGTTTCCCAATAGCTCTCTTGCTTGCCCAGCCGGATCGGATTCTCCAGGTTGCGCAATTTAAAATCGGCTTCATCCATCTTACTACGGATTAGGGGCTCCAGCCAACAGAGCGATCAAACGTCCTGTCGTCAGCAATTACGTTACGCGTGGGGAAACTGGCTTTCATACACGCCTCGGCCTCGAGATTTCTCTCTCTTGACGAGAAATCGGAGACTGGTGTTGGAGTATTCTCGAATCAAGAAAATAAGTGGGACAGGAATGTAACATTCGGCTAAAGTTCCATATTCTTTGCAGACGTACAGCGATGACATCGGCGAGGCCTCGCAGTCGCCTCCGTTGAGCCCCGAACTGAACACAGATCACCAGCTCTACCTCGGAATGCGTTCTGTTCAGAGTGCAGCGGCGGCTCAGCAAGTAGCTCGCGTAGAACAAGGATCTCCTCGACGGGTGTGTCTTGTCTGCGGAGACGTAGCCTCAGGCTACCATTACGGAGTGGCTTCCTGTGAGGCTTGTAAAGCCTTCTTCAAACGAACGATCCAAGGTAAGAAGTCGTACTTACGACCTCGAACGACTCCGGTAGGATGAGCAAAAAAAAGGAGCTTTGGAATTATCTACGAAGAGAAACATGTCGTTGGCTTCCCCAGTTTGTCGTTTCTCTCCTCACGAAACTCTAATAGGATTTGGACGCTGATGGGACGATGCGGGTTACGAGAAGGCTGGCGCCGGACGAAAGTTCCAGTTTTTCGCCAATGCCTATTGTAATCATCCTGCGTCGCGACGAGCCTTCAGGAGAACTCGTTCCCTCCCTTCGAATTTCGGATCGTTGTGAGAACTCGGGTCCATGCTCTCAGTCATGGCGATTCATTGATTCCCTGACTTTTCCCCTCTCTTTCTCATGGAATGATGGAACTTATTTTTGTTTTGATCGATGGCGCCTCTGGAACCCTTTCGCCGAAAGACAGCATTGCTATGGAGGAGTATGGCGCGGAAGCAGTCGGCTCCCCCTCCGACCCTCGGATCGAACAACTCTGATAGCACCTACCGGTGGGCTTTGTGATTCTTATCCTCACTCCGAGGGGCGAAAGGAGGTCTTCCATGACACCTTCCGGTTCTTTTCGAAGGGGCTGGATATTCGGCTTCCCGGGGCGGCTCTATCAAAACCTCACAGTGTCCCGTTAGATCGTCCCATACGACGAGGAACTCGATCAAGTTCTGTGGTACTCGACCCGGGATGTCCGAGCAACCGACCCCTCACTCCACCAAACTCTCTACCCTCTCGGGCTCCTGCTTTCGTGATCGGAATGGCTCACTGCTGCCATGGGAATCGTCACCTCTCCTCCCAGATAACCGGCAGGTTCTCCGGTGTGGAACGACTATAGCGTGTTCGGATTGGGTTCCCTCGTGGGAAGAATTAGCCCCGCGCAAGCCGCGATCCGTCCGGACATTTCCTCACGGATGATCGGTCCGCTCGTCGCGCCTCTCAGCTGAATGGAGCGTGTCGCGTCTACGGTCAGAATCCCCACGGGAAGGAGTATTTGTCTCGAAACTTCGCCGACGTATCCACCACTCGAGCGCGTAGGACGCCATGGTTTATTCCACTGCATTTCACTCGAGACTTTCTGCTCATCTCATCATTTGGGAATACGGAATTCAACCGCCCGGGGTTTATCAAGGCCCAACGCCCCCCGACGCGCTGGACTTAATTTCTGCTTGAAAGCTTGAACAATGTCCCCACGAGAATCGGGAAGAATATATTATTTGCCGAGGGGCAACAAAGAACGCTCAAAACCAGACTGTCATCATTTTCATCGGTTCAGACCAGACAGTACCATGGCCGGCCGGAGCTAGCGAGCGCCCGCGCCCTCGATTCGACGCGTGGGGTCTTGTTTGCCGGCGTGCGTCACTCGTTTTTTTTCGAAACACCTCGAGCCCTATCCATCCAACGAGGTGGTTGTGTCGGCACCCGAACCCTTCGAGAGAGTTGCAGGCTCGCCATGCCAATCAGCAACTTGAACGTTAATGTAGCACTAAATTACTTGTGATTGGCCCGCTACGACTGAACGAGGGAACGTTCTTGTTTAGATCGCAACTCCGGCCTACTCTCGCGCTTTGCCCGTTCGAGCGAGGCGAGCGAGCGAGCGACTGACAGCCTCCGCTGGAGGGAAACGTTTCCTGCATCGTCTACGCCGCGGAACGATAATTGAGTTTTTTTTTCGCTTGCAGGGAACATAGAATATACCTGTCCTGCGAACAACGATTGTGAAATCAACAAGCGGCGACGGAAAGCCTGTCAAGCGTGTCGCTTCCAAAAATGCCTCAAAACGGGAATGCTCAAAGAAGGAGTTCGTTTAGACAGAGTCCGTGGTGGACGGCAGAAGTACCGAAGGAATCCCGAAGGTCCTTATCAGGTGGCAGCACAGCCCATCAAACGCATCACGATCGACGGTAAGTGGCTCATTGACTGACAATAGTAGAATTGCAAATCCACCGAAATCAACACTCGGTCGGTGAGGTATGTTCCCGTGGGCTCGACGAACTTGGCCTCGTCGCTTCCTGGAGCAGGCCTAGACCTGGGACCCTCGTGCACGTACAGACACCATCGATATGGAGCCCCGGAGATCGCGGATACTCCGAGACAGAGAAATTCATTGGCAGGAGCTGCCTACTCGGTATGGATGCTCTCCGGAGCATAAGGGATAAGACAACCCCCTATTCTTGAAATTTTCGATTCGATTCCTTGGGGGACCTCAGGACTCCTTGGAGCATCCTCCGGTCAAACATCGTGTAGATGTTCGTACGGTCGGTCGGTCAGTCGGTCAGTCAATCGAGAGATCGAAGTTTTTTCCCGGGGGAAAAGTCTCTATATCGAATTGCTCGTCTCAATCAGATCAAATCTCGGGAGGAGCAAATCGAGTCAACGAGGAAGAAATATAGGAAATGACCATCGCCGAATTACTGACCGTCGTACTGATGGCTCGGCAATGGATCTTAGAATTGCTCTACGAGCGAAAGATGACACCGAGCGCCGGCGGAAAACTACCATCGCCCGCCGTCTGCTTATCGCCCAGTGGCGGAGTTTGGGCTCGCTACCGGTTGACTTACCAAACTGTAATAATAGCGCGTCGGTCGGCTACGCTGAGCAGACGAATGTCCCGGTGGACATTACATGTACCTATTTGCAATAAATCTTTGGAGCTCGATGCGGTTGATTTTCGAAAGTGGTCGGCACATCGAAACCCGCCGAGGGTGACTCCGCTCTGCGAACGCCACTGGTGCTCTTGAGTTGAACCAGCACTCGGTCCGGGAACAACTGGTTCCCACTTTTGAAGCCATGGTGCCATTATTTCTGCTTTCCACCTCGGTGGGAGAGCCTTGCCTTGCCCACCCTCCATTTCCTCTCGACGCTGGCGTTATTTATGCCTAGTCCCGGCTGCTGTCCACGAATCTGTCTTCTGAGCTCGTTCACGGATCCTTTGTGAGGTTTCTTCACTCGGATTTTCGGTGGCTCCTAATAGACGTCTTCTCGGGCTTTCGTAATAGCGGGTTTTCGTGAGTCTTCCTCAGACCATATTCGATGCTTCAAGGTTCCCTCCGAAGTTTTCCATTAGCAGCTCGTTGTTCGTGAGCTTTCCTCCAGCGGGAGTCCTCCGCCGCGGTGCGGAGAAACCGTGTCGAGTGAGTTTCCAGTGGGCGAGATAGAGAAGCTTCTTCCTCGACGACTCGTCCACTCGAGAAAAATAGCCTCGGCAATTTGTCTGACTGAGCTTCAAAATTGAATTAAACGTTGAGAACGTCTCCCGTCAGCAGTCAACTCCCTCCATGCAGATAGCTGACCCAGTGACGGCTAGAATGGCGGTTTCCCCCTCAAGCCGAGAGTTATGGTCCGGTTTGCGAGGGCAAACGGAAAATGACTAAATTGAACTCCCCCATTCCTTTTCACCCGTTTGCTCCGATCGGGGAGGCGTCTCCGAAGGCTCCTTCTTTCTTCTACCGCACGAGCGTAGCATGCACATTTTTGCATGGCTGCTCACTTAAAGACGTCCGGAGGGTCTTGGAGCGAATGTTCGATTGAGGTATTTGAACGATAGCGAAAAGCCCCACGATCGATAGAAAATCCTCAATTCGAAATATTGATTCATTATTACCCTACATACGCCGCGTAGAGAGTAAACGAGTCCATACGAGTGTATTGCTCGTCGATACCGCAGTGACAACATGGACTCCTTAATGTCTGTTCGACTCGACCCACGGTTTGTTCGAACACACCAACACAGCGCGCCGGACAGGCCGCAGTCGATGCAGACTCGGTCACGGCGGTACGCATGTAGAAAAGTATCCGCTCTGGGAAATTCTTCCCTTCCTAATTGGATCGCTCGGTATCGGTGCGTGCTTAAAAGCCGAGAGAACTCCGGGGGCGCTTCGTTGGCGGCTTGCTTGTTGTGCTTGTCCGAGCAGCGCCGTTCTCGTTTCATTTCATTCAAGTGATTCGATTGTCTCTTTCTAATTGGCTTTTTGCTCTTCCAATCGCTGCTTCTGCGACCACCGCCGCCGCCTGCAGCATAGCCGAATTCCGGCCGCGAGCAATCGGGGATTTGCTCTTCTGCCATTCTATCCGATGCTTGAGCCCTCTCCCCGGGCTCGATCAGACGGCTAGATTCCACCAGAGACCTTCCACAAGTGGACCTAGAGCTTACATTTGAAATTCAGATCGTGCACAGCAAGTTTTTGCGAGTCACTTGATCTTTTGTGTTGGCGTCAAAGACTGCGCCGGCCGACTGCGATGCCTGCTCGCTGGTATCTGTCAACTCTGTCTTCCAACGACAAATATAAAGCGTTGTTGGCAACGATGCGCCTGCCTCTCGTCTGACAGTAACACGAAAACGGCGCCTCTATGCGCGTGTCGGAATGCCGTGCACTATGGCAACAAGCGCTGGACCAACGCCTCCAACCCTGTGCGAATCTCCATATCAGTAGCCCCATAAAATACTTTGCGCTCTCCGGCGGAATTAAGCATCGCTCTAAACGAGTAGATAGGATAATCCAAGTATCATCTCGAGAAACCACAGTGTTCGGGCTACCGCGTTCTTTTCGTTCGTTCTTTGAAGGATGGAGACGATCTTGAGGGAGACAGGCCTGGCCTGAGAGATTTCCTCCGATAAAGATCTGGCTGATTCCGTTGCAGAAAATACAATCATCTCAGCACTTATCGCCTGCGAGCCGCCCACCTTATCCATCAGCATGAATAAGGAGTATACGAATGCTTTTTGTGACTCGAAGACCGCACTAGCCGCCCTCGGAGAGCTCATCGATCGAGAGCTCGTGAACATCATCGGGTGGGCTCGTCAGATTCCTGGCTTCAGCCAGATCCATCTCGACGACCAGATGCGACTCCTTCAGATGTCGTGGGGAGAAGTCCTCTCGCTAACGCTAGCGTTCCGGTAAGTGAATTGCCCGTTATGAGGCCAGGGGTTGGGCTCGGGTCTCGCTCGCGTCACTTGCGGGTATTCAGTTGCGTGGGTTGAGGGCATCGGATGTCAATTGGTCAAGACGATTCCGAAAATAGCAGAGCGCCATCAGGGATACAGAATAATATTTTCTAAAAACGCCTCGATCGCGAGTTCTCCTATAGGCTTTCGTCATTCTGTGAGGTCCGACGCGGCTAGTGTGTCTCAGGGAGACTTCCATCGGGATTCCGTCGATCGCAGTGGGGCTAAGAAACTGTTGGAAAGTGCTCCGCAATTCCGAAAATACTCTTCCGAATTCGACGGGGTTCCCGTGGGATAGGGCAGTTTTCAATTCCGAGCACATCTCTATCTGAACGATGTCGGCCGGATCGCCTCGCCGCGCATTTTGCCGCAAGGGCGAAAGAGGAGAAATGAGAGCAAGGCATAGAATACGATCCCACTCGCGAGAGCTGTGCTGTCGCCGTCCTCTTTGTTGTTTATGGGTTCCTGAAAGGACCGGGATGCCCATGAGGGATGGAGCGGATCGAACGCGTGGACCCGAGTCTCCCGAGCTCGTGGGGTAATGGCCCGGAGGAAAGAGTGAAGTGGTCACGAGGAGCGACTCGCGATGCGTTTTCACGACGATGACGCCTCGTCGTCGCGATCGCCGTCGCTCCAACAATCGTTGGGCCGTGTTCAATGTGGTGTGCATCGCACCTCGAACTCCATGGAGCGTCATCGGAAATAATGTACGGATACCCCGGACCTCCGCGAGGATCAGAAGAAATTCGTTTCGCTTTTAGTTCTCCGCAGACAATGACCCATGGAGATTTTCGACTTGCGCTCAGTTCGAAGAAGAAAAGTCCGCGGGATCGTCTCGACCGTCATCGATTCCTGAACGACGACTCAATTGTTTCGCATCGCTGAAAAATGATTCTTCCGATTCTCGTTCCCAGCGTCGAATCCTCCCGTGTGGTCAATATATTAGCCGCGACTTTTGCCGAGAAAACATTTTGGAGACTTCACAAGACTCCAGACCCACGACCTACTGCACCGTAATTCTCGGCGCAATTTTGAGCTCATAGAAAATTAGAGTCTACGGAGGAAGCAAATTTGACCGCAGGATCATGACATCGAGCAAGTTTACGGACTTCCACCGCCACCACCAAACGAACGTGGCAGGGAGGAGTTTATGGCTCACTCTCATCCCGTACGCAAACGTTCACTCTGCGCGCCACTGCCGAAAGGGGGGGGGGAAGGGGGTCCGACGTGCCTTTGTTTGGCGTTCATCTAATCAGCGACTATTGATTTAAAAACCCTCATCCACTGCCTACACCGCTATGAAGTCAAGTATCTTCTCCTCCTCGGCACTATGATCATAGCGGCAGAACTCCGGCGCGAGGAAGATAGATCTCCGAATTTTCAAGGTCCCCGAATGTCCCCCCTCAACATGCGGGGAGAAGGCGGGGAGGGGGAAGGGGAGAAGGCGGGGAGGGGCATTATTATAGGCATTGATCTCGGCTTGGGGCGAAAGGAACAATTTTTCTTCGTTTTTTGTTTCTCCCCTCACAGGGCATCGAGCTCTCTAGAGCTCCTTTCCTATTCCGATCATTGTTACTTTCAATATATTGCATTCCATTTGTTCTAGTTTGGTTCTACTCTCAGGGAAGTCAGAGCGATTGATGGAATGGGAGAACGAAACTTTTCTTGAGGATTCGGGACTAGCGTCTCTCTCTTTTTCGTCGTCAGAGGAGATTTTCTCTTATCTCCCTCTTGACCCACCTCTGTCCTTCCACCTCAATACGCCCCGCCGCTATCTTACCGGAGCGGTAGCTCCCAGAGCTGGGTCACTCGGCCCTGTTTCAAATCGATCTAAGTGGAAAGGCTGGCCAGAACGAGTAGATTGAAGGCGTCCACGGAAAACTCGATCGAGCATTCGAAGCCTAGGCTCTAATAGTTAGCGGGACTCTCAAATCGCAGGGAATTATTATCGATAACGAATATCTTTCCCCATTTCAGCTCGATGGAGAGCAGTGACGGTCTCTCGTACGCAAACGACCTGACCCTATCTCAGGTACAAGCTGAAGAAATGGGTCTCGAAGAAATTTTCCTATACACCAAGCATCTCGTTCAAAGGCTCAATGCGATCCGGATCTTCAAGGAGGAGTACCTTGCTCTCAAAGCGATGGCTCTTATCAATGCCGGTAGGTTCGGTGATAGGAATGCCGCGGTGCCCGCCGCCCTCGCATCGCACGCGGAACAAATGGTTCCTCCGCGCATACAAATGCTCCAATTCATTCCCGTAACCTTTCCGCGGAGCTCGATGGCCGAAAGGGGCGAATCTGCTGCGATTTCACCTTTAGATAGTTGTTATAGCTGAGCGGCACCGAGGCTCCTCGTTTGATTGATGTGCGTTAGGGGATTGGCGATTGCGCCTCCACCATTGAGCCCCTCTTCGCGCTAGATGGCATCAATTCTAGAGCAGTGAACCCGCAGATTCGTGGCGTTTTTCCAGCGCCCGATCCCGCACCGCATCCGCGAAAGCAGCCTTGCGGACAGCATCTGTCACTGGTGGGAGACGGCGCCGTTCACGCGGCCGAAAATGACCATCCCTGCAACAGCAAACTAGAATCGTTTCCTCGCCGGATGCTCCTAACGACGCCTCTTCCCCCGATCCTCGGAACTTGTCAAAGTCGCCGTTTGTTAGTTCCTGTAGGCCGCTGGGCGAGCCATGCTGGGCTGAGTTCCGGTCCCGTGAATTCTGCGGTTTGCCGTGCTCCGGAGAGAAGAGCCGAGGGCTCCGGGTCCGAGGGATCCCAGAGGACTGTCAAGGAGAATGAATTGTTTTCATCGGGAAAAAATCTTCCGGCGCACATACGTCTCTGATGAGACTCGAATGCTCGTTCGATGTCCTACGAAGTGAATCATACCTCGGTCCCAACCGCCCGGCTGCTCGTGTTGAGTTTTCTAAAGCGTTTCCGTATACAACTTCCAGATACGGTGCTGGAGAATTCCACTCTAGTGTACAAGATGCGAGAGTCGATCAGTCAATCTCTGCAGGATTGCATATTGACGTTGAGCCCCAGTACAAACAATGCGGCTCCCCGTATGGCACAGCTCCTTCTTCTGCTGCCCTTACTCAGGTGAGAACGAATATTCTTATTTTCCACGCTATTTGCCTACTTCAGGGAATACTCGGATACTTCCCCCCGAATCCTGAATTGAATACATGGGACGGCCGATTCCCGGCGTGACGAAACAGTTCAGGCTCGTCGGATTGGATCGATTATTCTTATCCCGCGATTGAGAGAAGTTCCCTCGACGATGTGCTCGATATCCATCCGTTCCCTCGTGACATTCAGAATCTATGTCAGTCGTTTCTGAATCAAACTGTCCCATCACGCGATGTCTCAGGCTGTTATCGAGTTTTCAGAGGATGCAGATACGGGACGACCCGATGAAATATGCTGCGCGTTCGCATACACCGACATACTCGACCGTATTGGCGTCCGACGAAAATCCTTCATCTAGTCGCAGCAGTGGCATATCGATAGATATTTTGCGTACGAACCGGCACGAACAAACAAATGTATCCGAGCAAGCGTGCCTTCAGAAGGCGACATCGTGAGAGACTCCGCTCCGGCTCCTCCCACGCCATACGTTGCCTACGGGGCAAGATGTTCCAAACATCCAATACATCCGGCGCCCAAGGGATGCTCTTCTTGCTCAACCTGGAGCTCTTCCCTCACAAACAAGTTTGTGGAGCTTGCTCCTGCTGCCTGCACGCCCGCCTGTCGTGCTCCCAAATGGTCAACCGTGTGGAGGATGATGAAGTCCTTCTGCGGCGGCCTTGCTGCGAACTATCCGGCTCACAAGGAAACTGGGAGCTCGTCTTGCTGGTCGGTTTGCTCCATGGAGTTTCTTAGGTTTCAAAATTCTCTAGGCGCCAAGATCAAAATAAATGTCTCGCCTGTTCGGCCAAACTCCCCATCTGTGAGGGATTCTAGCCAGACATGCAAATCCAGGAGTCCTTCAGCCTCGCGTTCTTAATTCCTCGATCACGTCGAGCCTACCCGCTCCCCTTCTGGAGTCGCGGACAAGAGTCGGCGGATCAGAGCGTGGGAGGAATTCATCGTCTCCCCTGACCCTGAGGAGTGGAAGGTGTCCAATGTTTCGACCATTCCACTGAATTCCCATCGAGTTAAGGAATACTCTGTCCACTAGCAGTCCAGAGGATACACTCTGCAAGGGAAAAGTCTCGCGTTCCACATGGTCGCGGACTCCTTCTTTTGCTCATGTTCGTCGGAAATTAGGGAAATAAGGTCCGACATTCCATCTGGAGATTATTCCTGCATCGCTCAAGAGCTCGGTGTCTCACAATAATTTTTTTTGTTTCCCTCCGCAGGCACCTCGATGTCCTGATCAGGCAGTTCTGGCAGCGGATGCGTTCAGAACGGAATGCCACATTGAACAAACTACTGTGTGAGATGCTAGAGTGGAACATGACATTCAAACTGGGCTGTTAAAGCAGGAGGAACTCGTCACGGAATAAGACGCCGTCGTCCACTCGAAAACCCTCGAATATGCATGAGAATGATTCAGGAAGCACCAGTGGACGAATCAACGGTCCAGCTGTTTCGATGGTGCTGTTGGGTTCGCGGTCGAGAAAGCAAGGGGGATTTTCCTCCCTCGACGAAGTGGATCTGGAGGCGGGGAACTGAAGAAGATGAAAAGTCGAGTGGGCCCCTCCTCTTGCATGAATACCAGCAGCGCGATCACCAGCAGACGTGAGCAGCGACGGTTCCTGGGCGTGTTGAATGTGCGAGAGGTTGAGGAGCATGCGAGTATATCCATTCGATCGAAACTCGGTCGTCGAGCGAGGAAGCATCGCGGCTCATCTTTGTTAAATCTATTGTTGACTACGTTGACTGAAGCTTCGGGAAACCTGGAGCTTGGAATAAGTACGAAACCTGGTGGCGCCTAAGAGGTAGAGAATCGGGACGGAGTGATGGGTTTGTTACGGGTTGACTTCCTTGTTTGCGGCGCTGTCTTTCTGGAAGCTCGATCTGATCGCGTCACAGAAGCTCCGTCGACTGAGGAATGGAGGTCCGTGATTTTGTAGGACTGCGGCAAGTAATTGTGTTGAGGCGTGAGTTGAACCCCTAAGAGTGCTTGACAACCTGATTAAATGCGTGGGTCGTCAGATGGTCGACTATCGACTTTACGACTTGGGACGTAGATTCGAATCGGAGACCGTCTGTTAGTAATCCATACGAGAAAATCAGCACAACAAAGCTACCCAAAATGACGTTCGCGAAACGACGGAACATAGATGAACACTGAAGGCTATAGATATAAATTTATATATACACATGATGATGATGATAATATATAGGAGAGAATGTTGTGCGGTTGGAACCGTGTAGACTGGTGTAACTGATTGATAAACTTCAAACTTAACTACCTACCAACAAACAAGCAATTGAAAGCTGTTCGCTAATAGTGCTCTCATAGAGATGATGTTCCCGCTCCAAGGGGCGCGTGAATATTCGTCGGTGGGCCGATCGTACAATTGATCCGTCGATCGTGAATTCGCGTCGAGTCATTGCGTTTCGTCAAGTGATTCGGGTTCGGTTCGTTTTCGAGCTCTGTGCCATCGTGGTTCGTCGTCATGCCTCGTGTCGTGGATACTCGTTATCTTGCATTCTCCAGTCGCTTCCAGAAAGAAAAGAGTCACGTCTAAGATTTCCAATCGAAGGGGAAGGTGTTGATGAGGAGTCCGCTCTGAAATAATTACTTACGGATTGAAGACTGTTGAGTGTAATCGACAGAGCGGAATAATTACTTGAAAGAGTTGCAAACGGACTGATATATAGGGCTACGTATGATATCCTGTTTGTACAACGACATCGCTCGACGGAATAGAGAGAGTCTCTATCGTCGGTGACCGGGGTCGGGTATATGGGCAGAGTGCCCTGGTGCTTTGAAAAAGCTCTTCTCTCATGGCAATCAGATCCAGATTTCAACAGTCGGTGGGAGAGTTGAGATTTCGTTCAGGGAAGCTCCGACGTGAGGCTCGGGAACATTTTCCGGCTTGCCCTCATGCTCGGAGGAGACTGCCAAGGATGCAAGAGGTGCTATCTATGCCCAAATTCATCGATCGCGAGGGGATGCGAGGAAACTTTTCATTTTGCATCATCGAGTCACAACTCTCCCTCATAAGCTGTTCCCATACTGCGTGGGAAACTCAATTTACAAAATTCTAGGACGAGCTCCTCAGCGATCCCGAGCTCGATCGACGACCTCAAATATGATTGAAGAGCTTTTGTCGGCAGTCTATGGTTGTGCCGCTTGGGAATCCTTCTTAGTACAAATGAGAGGTTCATCCAACCTTCGGGAGGCGCGAGGCCGCTCTCGGTGTATGGGCCTCAAGTTCAAAAGTAGCGCTCTCCACGCAAGAGAGCGCTGCTCAGAAACAATGATGACGTCCATGGAGTGCTGTAGAGGAGACTCTTAGCTTAGATACGGGAACGCTTTGACGTTTAGAGTACATCTAGCCATCGCGTTCATTTCATCAACAGAAAGCACAGCTCGCTGCTTGTCAAGAACGACATGCGATGCTGCATCTGCTGGGAAACTCATGACGGGTGTAGGGATGTCATTATTTCCGAATCAATTATCCGTCACAGTCAATCATTTTCATGTCCTCCATTGTCCTAAAAACACTTGACCCCAAGATTTGGAAAAGACCGAGATCGCGATACGAGAGACACGCCATAAAGAGCGACAGAAGCTCCACTGACGAACACGATCCAGCAGGAATATTCCCCGATCTACCGGTGAAGCTCACAAAACTTTCTGAACGATGCTGCCCAGCTAATCTCCCAGCGAGTTCTACCGACAATGATCTCAAGTTTTTCTGAACTGTGTTGATTGTCTGAGAACATCTGAACTCGAATGATTGAAGCCTCATGAATGTTTCTCGCAGAGCTTCTAAACTCGTACGATTCAGTCCGTGACCGGCACAGGTCGGAACTCTTCGAACTCGGCCCGTTTGGGATCATCTTCAACATGGAAGACTCGATTCGAAGCCGTTCAGTCGGACAGCTGATCAAGCGGGTGGCCAACTGCGAAAGAAAATGGATGGGTTAGAACTACTCTCGACGGGAGGTTTGTGCGGTGGCTTAGGTTGGAAACTAGACCGGAATCGCTTGACATAGATTCATGCTCCAGAGTTGCTGGCACGGAACGGCGAGCCATGAACTCGGCGTGGAGATATTCAGAGGAGGGAATGCAGCTGTGATGGAGTCGTTATCAAGGACTTTATTTCGTTAGGAACCCTCCCATGCGAGTTGCCTAGACACTGGAACGCAAACTTAAGTAGGTGGTGATATAATGTATTCCGTAGTGTGATCATCCTTAGTGATATAACGAAGATTCAACGCGAGGACAGCAAGGATGGTTTTATGAATGGTTTCAAAAGTCTTTCTGCTCGAACTTCTGTCCTCGTGTCAAGTAGAGATCCTGCCCATCGAGTGCGGCTGTGACTCGAATACTTCACGTAGACCTACTAGAATCACTGTAATATTATACCCCTGATTATGAGCGAAACGGAGGATAATTACTCTTAAGTGCAGTTTGCGAACAGATATCCGTCGATTCACATCATTTTCCGGAACGAGGATTATTCATCATTGCGGTTATTTTGGATGAGCGTGCTGCTTGCGGCGAAATCGTTCGGTCGAGTAGCGTTCCCTTACTACGCGGAGAGAATGTTAACCCCTTCAAACTGTTCGGAGGAGTGCTCATATACTCGAGTACAATTCAGCGGAGGAGGGATGTTCTCACTCGCATCCTTGCCGAAATCATAGCTCCTTCCCCTCATCCTCCTCATTTTCCCGGCAAGATTGAGTCGGAGCGAAACTATCGAGCACGGTTATCGACCTCCGCTCAGCTCGTCTTCCTGATTTCTCTCTACCCTCTTCGGCTACGCGGAAGCATGGAGTTCGAATGAGCGGATGATCCTGTTATGTTATAGTGAGTTTCCTTTGTTGTTTCCAAGGTTTCCGGCGATCGCGTGGAATCCGGCATCGACGTGCAATTTCGAACGATGACGATTTACCGTGTACTAGCGACAAATCTATCTTCGGACATGCTCATTTTTTGACGCAGTTATCGATGAGCGATTATCTGGAGTCGAGCAGAACTCGGCGTCGCGGTTTCTATCGTTCGACGATGTCAAATATGTAAAAATCTGACTGAGAAAACCTACCTATGGAAGTACATTGGACAATGTCCGATTGAGGATGCTCTTGAAACTGGATGGAGGAATAGATAGCGAGAGTACTGATATTATCGAAGGTAGCAGAGAATTGATACGAGCAGGTTATGAGTGTGGAATGAATGAAGGGTGCGGCGATACCGCGCATATGGTGGCTTCAATCGCATCATGACGAGCGATCGTCTGCATAATATGGTCTGAAGCAGGCTCGGTCGAGATAGAAGAGGCCGGAAATGAGCGGGTTGCTCCTCTGAATTCTGGTCTGCGGTTCCCACTCAGATGGTTATCATCATCATCGGTTCCGTATTGACACATCGAATAGAGAACTTCGGTAGCACGCTCGTGCAAAAGAGATGTGGTCATAGAGGGCGGCGAAACACATTTGGAGGAAACTCAAAACGACGGAATCCATGACTGCGCGGCGGTTGGTCGTTTGAGGCGTGGGGTAGTCAAGCGCTGCTCGGCCACGGCCCAAAACCTGGGGGTAAGGTGTTCAGGATATATGATCCGCGACCTTCGTGTGGAACGGTTCCGGGCGCCGAATGCGACTTCGGGCAGCCTCTGATGAGAATGCGTGATAATGCGCAGAGACCTAAGGTATGGCGAGGGAATACAGATGTCGGTCTGAAAGCTCAATTATACAGAGAACAGAGGGGACGATTGCATTGCGTGACACAAACGTGCTCGCGTGAATGGGTCTACTGTTTCGGTCAATTGCAGTCTGTGGGAGTGACCGCTCGGAGTTGTGCCGTAGACTAGAATTTGTATAACTGATTCCGCTTCTTGAAATCACTGTAAGTGATGCAACTCGTCCGCTAATAGAACATCGACCGAGTGTATGCCTTCTGCCCCCGATCTTCCCGCGGGACCCCACGGAACTTGGACAACGTATTTGCGGGATACCTAATCGCCAATCACGGTTCTTCATACTCATCAGAGAAAGAGAGAATATAGAGCAAGCTGAATGATGATCAAAAGCTCGGAGAACTCAACGCTTGCTTACTGAGTCACGTCGGGAACCGAACGCGAACATCTGCAGTCGTGGATTTCCAGCCATTCAAACTCATGCTGTATGTTCGGGTCTTCAATTCACCATTCGCAAGCGACGGCTATTCATTGGGGGATCATTCCCTTACGTTTCGATATCAATCACTGCCTTCGCCGATGCGATTGAGCTTGGCGGGATTCAAAATCTACAGAAATACAATAATTATACTTGTTGGAGAATTTTGCGTGTGAATGACTCCGTCTGAATGGGGAACCGTCTGCTGTGTGGATTATGGGAGAACTCGCCCCTCGAGGTGACCACAGCTTCTTCTATCCTTGTTGGAAATGGATACACACACTGCTCGAAATCGAGTACAATCTATGTCAGTCAAAATCGGTGGATTCGTTCCGGGGCGATTTTGAGGTGTCAACTAGTCGAAGGATGTTCCGTCGTCCCACCTAGAGGACGGCGGCAGCGATGGCAACAGCTGGCAATTCTTAGTTCGCAGATGTTTCACAGAACTCCAACTAATTGCCGGTTCTATCGAATGCGAAGTACAAAATGAATCTTCATGAACCTTATCGGCTAGGCGACTTGGTCCCAATATACGCGTGATTTCATTCGCCTACTCACCTCCCATTTAACCCGCAGCATCGTTCATCTTCCTTTCTTTTGCTCGGGATCTTCCGCTCCGTCTTGTGTATCTGAGCTCTCTCCCTTCGGTATATCTCTATCACCCCTGCGCGCTCCTTTTCCCATCAGTGTGCCATTCACGGATGGAAACTGTCTTCATTTGAGCTGCCGACTTCCTGTCGGAGAATTCACCAAACTGCCAAAATCTAACGTTTCTGGATCGCGGAGCCTAGCGCGGGTCGATTACTCATTTTAAGACGCAGGAAAAATCCAAGAGCGATCGAAAACGTGCTGAATACCAAAAATACATACGTTCTGCAATCGCATGCATCGAACTCATCATCGATATCTCCCGATCCCCCGGATCCCTTCCTGGCGAGCTACAAATCAAAACAATGAAAAAACACGCAAGCCACCCATACTTCGGATATATGACTGTCTTAATTTTTGGTCGACTATGCTGACTTTTTCTTTAGCAATGTATGTTCTCAATTTCTTCATGAGATGATGTGAAGATGCATATGGAATGATTTCTCGCTTACTTATGCCTTTTCGGCTGAATCCACTCTGATTTGGTCTGCTGTACCTCAAGCTAATCCACACCCTAATCTATGATCAACAATGGATTCAGCTACTGTGGTCGATACAGAAGGATCCCTGTTACAGAATCGAAATACCTACGTTCGATTCCGAGCGTAATATTCACGAATATCACGAAAAAGTCAAGCTCTCAGCTATCGGTAGCACATACCGATATCGGATAGTCCATGGCGAAGTCTCGATTCGATCCTCCTATCATTCTCACCATCTTGAGAGAAAATTGAAACCAAAGACAGACCGCGAATGACGGAACGCCAAAAACTTCGTCTGCGATGAGGACTCTTCTCCGGTATTCCGCAGAAAGCTCTGATAGAGATGCCGGTTAGGACTGAAGAAGCCGCGAAGACTTCTCTGGGTGTCCTGACTTGTTATTACCGGCCTTCATGAACAAGTTCTGAGGGAATACCACACAGATATAGCAGCTTGACTCCGGTCATTTCTCATCTGAGTTTCAATGATTCGGTGACGAAGTCGACCTCTGCATCGTATCCCAATTACTCACTCTCCTTCAGGATTCTTTCCGTTCCCTCAAACTGAGTTACTGGCACCTGATATTGCAGAATGACAAATACGCGGAAGTGGAAGCAAACTGCCGAATCAAGAGTCTGACAGAGATTAAAGAGGACGCAAGACCCACGAAATGCCGTCAGGTGCTCGCTGAGACTTCGCGTGCTGGCTTTGGAAAGAATTCTGGCCGGCTATATTCAGTATGACAGTTTCTTTTCGAGATCAATGTCTCTGAGCTGAAGACAGCAGAGATTGCGATCAGAGATTTAGTCGATCGTCGCTTCCAGGATAGTTGAATTGAAATATCGAAAAGTGCAACTTGCCGCACGCACAGGCGTGCAGTCTGGAAATAATTCTATGTTGTTTAGACGAAAATGAAGACGGAGGAGGGCTTAGAGGAATGTTAGACGATATACATTCATATATATTATTATTATTACTATTACTATATATAATATAAATACTAAGAAGAATAAAAATGATAGAGCCATACATTCACAAAGTTGACGAGCGTTGCGTTTTCCTTCCTGATTCCGCTAGTGCTCAGTTTCTTCAATCGAAATCCCCCTCCGGTTAGCACGGAGAGCTGTGGAGGCACGCTCAGAATAGACGTACCGCCTTGACTTAATCCCTTGCATTCTGCGAAGATCGACAATCTGAACGCTACTGAGTTCGCTTCCCCGGCTCTAGTCGTTCATTTATTATGGAGGATCAAGCTCCAGTTGCCGATGCTCAAGTTCCCGCGTGGAGAAAAAGTATCCGCGTGAATCATTCTTCCCGTATCAGTCATCGGAACAGCTCACTGGGGTGCCGAGGGTTCGCGATCAGCGTGTCTCTTGCTGAAAGTTCGGGGAGCTTGCATCGACCCCTCGCCGAAAGCAGACTAAAAGCATTGTTATCCCCACAGCAAATCTGATTTGCTGGAGTAAATAGTTCACTCCAGAAGTGGTGAGAGAAGGAACCGGACTCCTAAACAGGGAAACTTAGGGCAAGATGGACTCCGCGGGCCCGCAAGGGGACGCTACGTTCATTAGACGTTGATGACGGCCTCCTACCCCCTTTGTTAGATGAAGACCTATTCTACATAGCCCAATCCGTTGCACCGCCACAGTTGGACGGGGGACTCCACCGGGTGATTTTCAGTCTTTCGGTGTTTCACCTGCTGTCTTCCCTACTCGTTCCCCATACAGCACAGCTCGGATAGATTCTGCGGAGAAAGGCCTCCGTTTCTGTGGCGCAAAGACGGTCGGGCCGTGAACAATCGGATTGTGCGTCCCCTAGGTTTGGGGGGGGAGGCTTTGCAAAAGCAGCAGCGCGTCGCATCGCAATGTTGCCCTCTTGAATGCAGGACATGATAAACTTAATCGTTGAACATCTTCCCCTATAACCCTGCGTGGGCGTTCATCGGAGCTCCACTTGTGTCAATACCCCAAGAGATCGAAAACTCCTGTTGGCGTGCAGCTACCGTGTTTCCCCGAATTTAAGTCCGGGGCTTGTTTTCCTTCGACCCTAAAGAAAGACTCCCGGGCTTACTTTTAGGGGGTGAGGGGTTATTATAATTTACTGAACACAATCCCGGTCTAAGAGAAAAGAGTTCAATTGTCTTTACTCGATAATCACCACGTCATGTATAGTGATCGGAATTCTCATTAGTAGCTCTTCGCGAGTAGATATTTGATGTCGAATACATGTGGGCGGCTGAGTGCAGCCCTCACAGGATTTTTCGTGAACGATTCCCGCAAGATTTCCGAGTGTTCCGGTGACCAAAAATCGACGCAAAGCCCGTTGTCTGCGGTCGATTTTGATAAGCTTGCGATACTAGTACAGCAATCGGGCGGGCTGATTCGATAATCATGTGGAGCGAAGGGCGTGAGATCCTCCTCATGGCCTGGGCTCCTTCGGGGAAAGCCGCCTGAGACGCGCGTAGGCGGAACGAGCCTAATGAACAGAGATTTATCGCGGAACCGGAGCTCGACTATCGGATGTAAACAATTGGAGAATTCGGAGTCTACAATCTCTTTATCTTGCATACGACAGGAGTTTTCACTCTCTGTATCACATTGTTTGTCGAGACAGTCTCGATATTCGGGTCGCCCGCGGGCTCGGTGTTACACGACAATCGATATCTGGTGAGAAGTTTCGCCAAAGTGAGCTTGATCTCTAGCTGCGCGAAACGCATCCCGATGCAATTTCTCGGTCCGGCGCCGAAAGGCTGCCACGCGTTCGCCACTAGTGAGGCTCGGTTTTCCGGTAAGAATCTTTCGGGTTTGAAGTCGTGTGGATCGGCGAAATAATCGTCCCGAAGATGCAGGGCTTGGGTAGAGACGAAAACCGCTTGGCCCTTGGGAATCCTCAGATTGAAATCTTCGTAGAATTTCTCCGTAGAAGCTTCTCGAATCGTGAACCTGGAATGAGCGGAAGAAAGGGAGGTCCCCTCAATATCCAGAGCGGGGATCGGAGCTAACGTTCTTACACCAGTAAGTGTTGCGACTCACGAATATATTGGTGGCCGGAGTCGGAGAGTTTCTTGGATGACCGCCTCCATGTAGGAGCACTTCTGCAGCCTCTCGAAATCGAAGACCTTGCCCTCATCGGTTGCCCTCATTAGCTCTTCTCTGAGTCTTTCTTGAACTTCGGGAAAACGTAGGAGCATACGAGTGATGAACGCTAGACTGCTGCTAGTGGTCTCATACCTGCAAAGTCGAAGAGGAATTCCGAATACGCGCATTGGCTTGGGCGAACTCTTTTGAGTCAATCGAGACCTATCATCACGGAGGAGACTGCGGGAAAGGAGATCACCCTGCAAGCAGCACTTGGAAGGCATTGTCGATGACTTCTTGCTCTGAGAGTTTGTACGGATTCGAAGCATTCGCCATAGGACACGTTGGGGCGATGAATTTCGAGTCATCATCTTTTTCACCGATCGTCAGGCTCGTGTGCTCCAGCTCAGATCCTTGAGCGTCTATCATCATCTGTAAAAGGTCGACTCGCGTGTTCTGCGAATAAAGTTCGGGGGTTAGGCGCAGGTTTCGAGAGCTCGGGAAGGAGCAAGAAAGTTCTTTCTCGTTACAGCCAGTAGCGAGGCGCGGAAAACGTATTCATGAGATTCATTCCGGAGAACGCATCGGAAGAAGGAATGCATGCGAGATTATCGTCGTATGTCTCTGGACTATGCGGAAAGCTCACTCACGCTCGAATCAGCTCTTCGACTCTCTACAATCTGTCTACATTTCGATTTCAACGAAATTATGGGGTTCCCCGACAGCTTCTTCCCAGAGATCCACATACGGAGCTTGACTATGAGGTAGAGCAGGTGACGAAGCGGATGGAAGCTCCCTGGAATGACGCTTCAGGAATTACATCGATGCTCCACATGAACATAAGGTGCGGTTTCTATTTCGAACTTCCAAAACTTATCGTTCGCTCATGGATCGAGTGATGGAGGGTTTGCACCGCGCAACTCGGGCAGAGACGTCTCTGAACTCACCAAGAATTGTCTGAATAATACTGCTATGCGCATCGAAGAGAGCTTTCGCGGCGACGACGAGTGGATGGCTGGGGCCGTGTTTTTGAATACCGAAATCAGCTCCAAGTGCACTCTTGCAAATTGTGTCCATAGTCAGAGCCTGCAGTTGACAGAATATTTAGGATCACTCCGGTGAATTGCTCCTGTCGGAACTTGGCCCGAATATACGTTCTCGAAGCCTAGCTCTCAGATTCACAGGTGACACCGGCCCTTTCGGGGCGAGCTCGGATGGATCGGATTGATGGATGATTCGATTTTCACGCGATGTGGAAATTCTCACGCTTTCACACGGACAACGGATGTCTCTCGGGGGAAATGAATTGGGGACGAGACACGCTTCGGATCACGCGTTTCCGATATTGCCGTACATCGCGAACTGGGGTAATACGGCTTCCGGCGGATTTAGAGTGATTCCATGACCCACCTGATAGTACGAAGATATCTCCATGTCCTTGTTCTCGTGTTTCTCGACATTTTCCATGAATTCGTCGACGATGGCAGCAACTTCGGGATTGAGCTTGAGGGAGACATGACGAAAATTATATTTGTGTCTGCTTGTCGAGCACAGGATCTCCACCCTCTCATCCTCTCTCTACGGGGAATAGCTCTCGCCTTCAGGCGGAGTCATTCCCGAGAATCGGCGCGTACGAACCGCTTTCAGTTTACTGATTGTAAATGACGGCGTGAGAGTCGATCGAACGCGTTTCCAGCGTTCGCCTGTGAGAGCGGTCAGTGCGTGATCATGAATTCCTGAGCCGGCACCGGTCATAAACCTCTGCAACGGATGAGGACGATGGCTAGACTGCGCTCTGGCGACGGGGTGCGCTTCGTTCAATATGAAGCGATGCTCTTCATAGTCTTGGAGCTCGGAGTTGAGCGGCAGATGAACTCACCGGTCGATCCGCGAAGTCCATGAAGTCTTTAATTTCAATGAGCTTCAGGAGCTCCACATCGGAGATCGCTAAAATGGGAATCTCCCCCATGAAATAACCAATCACGGGTCCGTATTTCCGATGCCATTCGACCTGCATTGCGATCAAACCATTCCGTTCTATCTCCAAGGCATTCCCCCATATCCAGGAGGGTTTCGGACCAGGAACGTTGATCTTCTCGAAGCGCCGGAAAATTTCGCGACGTCGTCTGTGGAGACACTCATTCGCAAGTAGTTCACAATTCAACCTCACTCTTTGTGATACCCAGAGCAGGAGTGCAGGGGGTGACCCATTGAACGCGGAGCCGCTGGAGCACTCCAAGAACACCCCATCTCCATTTCCTCGACGGATTCACAATCCTCGTCATGGACTGTAGCACTCGAAATCGGAAGAAATCTCCCAAACAGGCCCACCCCATGCTTTCGTCTGTTTCACCGGACACTTCTACCCGAAGTATTCTACCATTCTTCTAGTACATACACATCTATTATAATTAGGTATTATGCTTATTTGAATCATGCGACGTCACAATCAAGGAGTCGCCGCTCTGATGAAAAATTCTCCTCTGTCAGGGTGCTCGATTGGATCACGCACCTGTACTGAATTACCACGTAGAATAGAACCACCAAGAAAAGCGAGGCTGCTACGGATCCCCACATCGTAACGTTGCGTTGTGCGTTGCGAAGCGCCCGTGGCGTGTGATTCACATCCAAAATCAAAGCTTACTGGGAGGAGTAGCTTAGTGGAAAGTGTTTGTCGAACAGGTTCCTAATCACTCGGCTTATCACAAATCTCTCTCGATTCAACCGCCCTCATTTCCATCGGTCGTCTCATCGTTGGACAAAGGAATCAATACTGAACGAAGGTTCAGCGAAGCGCTCGTTCCCATCCTTTGGTCCGCTCGATCAGTCCTTGCGCGCAACTGCATTTCCCGATCCTAGGAATCTGTTCTCTCCTTCAAGTAGAAATTTTCAATGTCCTTGCCATCTCTGAAAGGTACACACACATATCAAGATAGGTGCAGGATACAAGCCGGGATAGATACCGCCGCCCAATGCCGATCGAGACCAGATGAACACCGATGGATGAGCTCAGCAAGCGACACCGAAAGCAAAGCCTCCCCGGAGGTCCTAGGGGGAACCCAGCGAAAACCTAGGAGAACTGCCTCGTAGCCGACAGGCTCCGCTCATTGGAGAGTCAACGACGTTTCCGCGGGAGCACGTTTCGCAACCGGAGGCCGTGGCACACTGACCCTTCTGTCGAATTTGCTGCACCCGCAGCATGTCAGAGATCCTCAGGCCGAGAAAGACGACGAGAAACCGAGGAGAACGTTATGGAACTTGGAAAGATCGAGGCATTGACCATTTTCAGCCACAGATCTGTCTGGGAGGAAGACGTCAGCGACACGTGCCGCAAAGCATCGCTTTGGAGAACCCACAGGCGGAGCTCTGTCGAGAATATGATTCTCGACATTCGAGCCAATCGAAGGGAGCCAGTCGAGTTCAAGCTCGGATATGCATTCGGGTTCTCAAAGAATGGAGAGTCACTCATTCATCAATCATCATCGAACCATAAGGTGTGATTCGTCTCGTCTGTCATGGTCTCTGGGGTTACCCTTTGTTCATCGTGTCCTAACTCATTGCGGATCGAGAAATTCGTGATCGAGATCTTTGGATGCCCCCCCGAAAAACCAACGGCGAAATATACCCGCATCAGCGAATTCGATTCCGAAATACTACATCAGATGTCTCTCTACTTTTAAAGATGTCCTCGCTCCTGAGAGTGATCGACGCATGTACTCGATTGCTGTTTTCCCACGGCTCGTTCCTTGCGGGTCCCAGAGGAGTTTCCATGGCAATCGCGTGCACTAAATTATTCCGAGGAGCGTGTGCGAGCTCATCTGCCCGCACAGTGGAACAGCCGAATCGGGAATACGAATTCATATTATGTACATTTGCGCTGATTTTCGCTTGAAGATGGATTCCTTCCGAGGACCTTGATCGCCACCAGCCTTCATCGGACTCGCGTAGCCTCTGCCAGCTGAATCCGAGTCGATCCCCGCGCATTGCCGTGACGGGCCGGATCGCTACACGATCGGGCTTGTCGAGAGCTCGATAAGGATCGCCGAAGGATCTGTGACTTGAGGGATGCGGATTCATTGACTCGTGCGTCAGGATTCAGATCAATGCTTTCGACGGGAACCTCATACAGGTGGTCATTCTTTGTCGAGACTTTCTTCCCCCTCCTCGTCCCGGCCTTAACTTTTGAACGGCCCAATGAAACTATATGAAATAACCGACCAATCAACAGCTCTCGCTCTGACTGACACAATTCCGTCCCTAAAGGGAACGATTTCGGCCAACTTCACCTGTTGCGGGCGTTTCGGAAATGATCGGTCACTTTTTTCTCGTTGCTCCACGAAAAGGCCTCTTTCTCAGCGACCGCTGGGTCGATCGGGCTCTACCTGGTTGCGTTCGACGCGGGACAACCTGGCGGAGGCATGCCGTGGAAGAAATTCAGGTACCATGTTCCTGGGAGAAACGCGGAAGGGTTAAACTTTGGTTTGAAAATCGGGTAAATTTATTAAAACTCCGGGTTGCCGCTGAACTCAGTCGTTAACTCCTCAGGGAAGCCGAGTTCGAAAATTTTCATGATGGCTGAAACAGCTTAAAATGAGCCGATTCACCCGATCCGGGGGTCAGCGGCTCGATCCGACGACTTTTTTTTTCCCTACAAAAATCGTCAGACCAAGCAGGAACCACCGGTGGGAAAAGAGATGAAACGCCACGCGGTCCTCGCCAGTTTGATGGAAGGACGATTTTCGTAGGGAAAAAAAGTCGTCGGATCGAGCCGCTGACCCCCAGAGCGGGTGAACTGGCTCATTTTAAGCCCTTTTGGCCATCATGAAAATTTTCGAATTCGGCTTCCTTTAGGAGTTATCGACTGAGTTTAGCGACAACCCGGAGTTTTGTTCTACCCGATTTTCAAGCCAAAGTTTACCCCTTCCGCGTTTCCCCCAGAAACATGGTACCTGAATTTCTTCCATGACATACCTCAGGTTGTCCCGCGTCGAACGCAACCAGGTTGAGCCCGATTGACCCAGCGGTCGCTGAGGAAGAGGCGATTTCGTGGAGCAACGAGAAAAAAGTGACCGATCATTTCCAGAACGCCCGCAACAGGTGGAGTTGGCCGAAGTCGTCCCCGCTAGGGACGGGGTTGTGTCAGTCAGAGCGAGAGCTGTTGATTGGTGGGTTATTTCATATAGTTTCATTGAGCCGTTCGAAAGTTAGGGCCGGGACGAGGAGAGGGAAAAAAAGTCCCGACTAAAAATGACCACCCTGTATACCCTTCATCCAAAAAACCATCTTCAGCAGAGAATCCCGAGGAACCAACCCCGAATGAATTTCTGGCTCAAGTCAATCTGACTCAACACTGACACTACCGTACCGTTCGGTTTCCGGTGTTCGTTCAGATCGAAGAAATGCGGCCGTGAGGATGCTCGCCCGACCATGCATTCGGCAAGTTGTGTTCGACTTATGCAGCGGCGCAGCGTGCCAGGGGGAAATGGCCATTCCCGGCATAAATTCGTTGAGGGTCCCCCAGGAGGTTACTCTGGAAGAGTGAGAATCCAAGCTACTCTGCTCAAGCCCGCTAAATCTGCATTCTGTATCGGTAATCGAGCGCGTCGTCTCTTCGGTGTCGGCAGAGACCTCGAGAATTGGCGGTTCAGAGGAAACTCCCTTGAGCATCTGGAAATGCGAGTTCCAGCTCCCGGCGCAATTAGGCATCGGTTGCCGTCCTGCTCAACGGAACCTTTTCGTATCCTCACGAAGCGCGGGGGTCCGTGGTATATAGACGACCTAGGTAGGACGAGCGAGCAATCATTAGCGAGTCTGCGGTCCTCGCGAGGACTTCGAGGAGAGCTTGAGGGTCGGCGCCTATAATTCTTATGGGGACACATAGAGACACCTTGTTCGCTTGCTCCACTCACGCTACTTTTTCCCACTCAGGGATGAGCTCGAAAACTAGCGTCGAGCTCTTGCTCAACTTCCTCCTTGGGAAACTTTTGAATCTTCCCGGCCAGATAGGCGAACATTGATCACTTCTGAAATTCCGCGCTACATTTCACATGCCCAGGAGCATCGTCTAGATTTCGCTCTCGCAAGTCGTCCCGGTCTCGACGGTTTTCCTTCGCGACTTGGTCGCTGCCCGAGTTTTTCTCTGCGTATGCGTATTCTTCACAGAAACGACTGTAATCGAAAGTTCAGCCTAGTGGTCCCAGGCGGACGGCAACTCCGAAGTGCTCTCGAGGAGAACGTGACCATGATACACATTCAAAGCTAGGATCTCGGCTGGTAAGTGGCAAGGTCCACCGGCGAGCCAGCTTACAGTTAGAGCCCAACGAGGGAGGAATGACCGGAAATCGTGAGGAGAAAATTGAAGGAAAACAGGAGGTTGGGTCAAATCCCAGAGGTGGAGCTGGGGGGATTGCGATTACAATCTGATTCCGCACAGGGCTCCCGGTAGGAAATAGCCTTCAAGAAAATTGTACGGCTTTAGGGACTCAGCTCCTGCGAACGTAACATCGCATGAACGCACGCACGGTCGTCGGTCCGAAGAGAGAGGAACCCTCGACAAACTTGTCAAACAGGCCTACAAACGCACACACGAGCGGCGGACGCAACGAGAGGCGGACGTGAGCGAGGAGAAGGAAACTTCTCCCCCATTCGCTCGTGCGGCTTCAGAATAATCTGATCAAATTGAATTTCACTGAAACAAGCCGAGTCCGCCGTCTCTCGAACGACGCTCTCGACTCTTTCCGGCTAATCTCCTCATTCAAATGAGATTCGTGGAAGTCGTGGTCGCTTCACATCGATGAGCCTCGACTCCGATGCTCGGCAGCGTACTCGACGGCCCGAGTGATCGAGTCGAGTGAAAATCGTGAGACTCGAGCAGAGACAACGTACGTGGGAGACGATTGAGTCGAGCTCTATGATCCCCGAGGATAATCGAAGGCGTATCGATCACGTGAGACAGAAGAAGGACGGCAGTATCGTCCATGGGCCCGCCAAACGCGGGCCGCGGGACGATCAAAAGAACTCGTGGACGAGATTATCCTTATTATTCGAGCCCGGTGGATCCGATCAGTGACTCGGCCAGACTTCAAGCAACTGCTCTGACCACGATTTCCTTACCCCCGTTTTTCGCTGATGCGGCGGTCGAGAATCGCTCGCGACGCACAACGTCTGAGCTGGGCAGCATGAACCAGAACTTTTATATTTCACGGAGTATCCAGGCAGACGGGAGCTCCCTCGTACCATGAACATGGGACTTGCGGCTCCATCCGGGTAATTTCGCTTTCTGAAATGATTCTCGTCACAGCACAGAGATGATACTACGAGCAACTCTCATTAAACTACGACCACTCGCGGATCTCTGGGAAATCTGGCGAATGGTTATGTTCTCAGATAGAGCCGTGACAGACACAGAACAGACCCCGCGGAAGACGAACATTCGGAGTGGAAACAACAATCATTGTAATCTTCGCACAGAGCGCCTTCGCCGTTTCGACCGAGGTGCGAATGCTAGCAATCCCGTCCGCGCTCAGTCGATGAAATACTATTCCGACCGAGCCCACCCACTTGCTATCTGAAAGTCTCAATCTACACTGAATACAATCATTTTGCAAAGCACCCCCTTACGGCCTCATGGGAACGCAGCTGGATCATTATCTCCTCCCTCTGTAAAAACAGATTTTCCGATTGAATAGTCAAATGCAGACGTGACGGGAATGTCAGATCAGATTGGGAAGATGCGAACGTTTTTTTCGCGAACATCCGACGCAGCGATTACGTCGATGACGTCCTAGTGGGAGAGACAGGCGAAATACGGAGAAGAATCCATCATCATCCGCTGTGACACTCGGGTTATACTCCTATGATGATGTTACACTGCTTGCGACGCTCCGTGATGACAAGCAGACCCAGAAGACTTCCGAACCAGTGGAACGCTGTCGTTCACCTCGACAGGTGACGGCCGGAACAGAGGACGGGAAGAGCTTTTTTGTGGAGTCCACAAGTTGTGTCTTCCGCTGCGTCGCCTCCCAGCTCTCCGTTGCCGTGGCCCTCATATAACGTGGACGTTATCTCTAAAGCGACGCCCAAGGGCCGAGCTCGGGCAACGAGCGTCTTCAGCTGTGACCGCCGAATGACGATGTGCCTGTGAGGTTAAGCAAACCCTTGAGATAGACGAGCGAATATAATTCCTCTACCTACTTCGGAAGTTGGATCGCGGATCACTTCCGCGAAATCACCCACACGATGACTCCTCCGGGTCAATCATGAGATGAGGTCGTCTCTCCTCGTACGGAACAGGCATCCATCCCTTCAACTGAGAGCCACGGTACCGTTGGGGGATCGTCGAGAATTCCTCGATATTTCTCAAAAGGTCCACAAAGCCCCCGAGCCCGACTCCGTCATCGAGGAGTGAAGGAGAATTAAGTAGAAGTTCCGAAGTTCCGAACATTCCCCCGATTCAGAGATGGATGATCTGATTAGCAGTCCCCATAGGGGGAAACATAGCGTTCTCCGCACTAGGGCTTGATCTGCCGAGCCTTCAGCGCGGAGAAATAAATAATCATTCCAGAGAGAATCGACCTTTACCCCAACTCGAGTTTCCGAACAGAACAAGCGGAAATTCAAAGCTGGAAATCTGTGTGAGAGTCGAGATTAGGGTTCTCCCGACGAGCGCTTTACATCATCCGGTTTTCGGGCACCGAGCAGGAAAAGGCATGGCGGGCTGTCTGTTGCTTCAGATAAATGCCTAACGTATGCGGTAAGTTGCAGTCCTTGGTTCAGACCCGGTAACCCTCCTTCTCAGCTCCACTCGCCATATAGTACGTGTTGTATCGAACGTTGGTGGCGCCCTCACAAGGCTAATTTCGCTATGAGCTCGATGTGTGTTCTGTGCGGTGTGGCTCGGGGACCCTTTCCCGGACTTACCTCCGCAGGGAAAGGAACTCATCTCCTCATCCTGAACTCGGAGCACACACGCGTTAGGAACCTCCAACAAGTGTCAACCGTGTCTACGTAAAAGTGCTTAATCACAGCATCGAAGTCACATCGTGTCGTTTTCGTTTCGTCTCAAACGTCGCCTTGTTCCTCGTCAGTGCGAACTGGCTGATTAGTTGCACGTAACTGCACACGTGTCACGCAGTACATCACGCGCCAAGCCGGAAATTCGTGCACCCGAACCCACTACAGACTCGCAGAATTACCCGAAAATACGCAAAGGGGAATTATTCCTCAAAAAAGCGGGGCGCTGGGATAATCGAGTCGATCGTCGCAGCTATTCGCCCGCAGCAGCTCCCACAAGTCAGCGCTCATCCCAAATCGGATCCTATTTCGCTCACTCAGTGAAATCCCCGTGATTGATCTCAGGGCACCAAGTGCTACGGTTTGACACGAGAATCGCTCGCAAGTGTTACGCGGAACGAGTTATTTTGCGATCATGAAGCGCTTCGGACACCATAATAACAACCATCATCAAAGTCATGAAGACGATCTGCACAAAAAGGTGGGTATTAACGGCCTAGATAGCAGAATAAGTCGGAGGCCTCCGTTCGCCCTGATTTCCAATTTATCAGATGCAGTATATCCAAGTCGAATCAGGGAACTCGAAGGACAACGACATAAAGCCGACATGTTATAGAGGATCGGCTGCGGTCGGTTCGCCCTTCCCCCATTCTCGTCGGCGTCAACTCCGTCGTCCCGTCTTCGTACGTCGCAGATACATACTTCGACCGAGCAAGCAACAAACCAAGCGAACATTCGAGACGACTCCGAGTTATCCGCTCTCGAGTGAGAAAACTGCTGCTGGCGCTTTTGTTCGACTGTACCATCGTAGTGCGAACGGAGTTCCCCGCTGTTGATTTACAACTGTTGCCGCTCGGCAGTGGAAACAAGCATCGACATCTCATTGGATTCTCCAGCTCCGGGACGAGAGAGAAGAGTTTTCCGAAAACTGTCAGGACGACCATGACGTCCGCGAACGAATCGAAAATGCTATTCCGGAATTTCTCGACGGACGTGAGGAGGACTGTCTGTTTGAAAGATTCCGGTCGACCACAGAGCGTCTTTCCATCGAATGAAGCAAAGCCATCGAGGTAGTGTCGATTCCCGCGATCGTCGCACATGATAAACCTGGAAATGGATGGATCAATCAGGAGGACGGAATCCTCACACTCATAGCCACGAATTTTCGGTCAATGCCGATAGCGCTCCGCAGTGATTTCAGATTCGAAGCAAGCAACGGCTATCGGATCTGCAAGTTCTAGTGGAGTGAGCTGACCAAGGTTGAAGTTCTCTGCCCCGAGGACACTCCATAATGGATACTATCAGGGAGTTCGTTGTTTTCCAAGGTCACCCCAGCGAGGAATAATGATGTTGTTTCAAGAAGTAAGCGGCTGAGTCTGTGCTTATCGTGAGAGCGGTCTATTAGCCGGAAGAAAGGTTCCCGTCACAGAAATTCCCTCCGGGTTTTTCGAGAACAGCAGCGAAACTTCCCCAGCCCCATCCGCGGCGTTTGACGTTTCATAATCGAAGCGTAATTTGGGCTCCATACGAGCCGCGCGGGTTGAACTAATCGACGGTTCCCATCCGATATTGTTCGTAGTCCCTCTGAACCCGGTTCAAAATCGATTACATGACATGTCAAAAGCCCGAATCCGGCCGCTGAAAATATTTGCCAATGGAGTCATCAGGCAAAAGCTCTTACCTCCATGCCGTAGAATGATGATTGAGTTTTTTGCGGCGTCGACCATTTTCGTAATACCCCGGAGGTCGAGTTGCCGGACGCTGTCCTGGAGTTGAATCCCGATCTCGGCTCAAATAGATGGGTGTATAAATGGTGTTGGTAATGCATTGGATTAGGGGAAGGAGAGCTATCGATGGCGTAATCGAGATTCGACGGACTGCATCCTACGAGGTCCTCGGGGGGAAATCTTGAGAACTTGAATATGCCAGGAGCCTCGCTGACTCTCCCCTCTGACTGACTGAGTGAGTTTGACTGACGGGTTGCTTGACTCGACGACGCAGCGCATCGTTTCTTATCAGCGAGCGCGTCATGTGTCGGGCTCGCGCAGGTCACACCGACGGGCGTACTGCGAAGGGCCGATAGCTGATAAGTGGAGAATTTTAATTAGGATCGAGCTTCCAGCGACCTGCCCAGACAGAGCAAAACCTTCTGCGGATGACTTCGCAAACCTCTTAAAATATTGAGCGAGCTCTAATCGCTCAAATCCCGGTCGGATAGTCCTAAATGGACGCGGGAAACTATCGTCACGAAATCAATTTCATTCTGGGGTGCATCGCCAGCTTCAGCTCCTGTAAATCTGGAAGTTCTTGCACCCGAGTGTGCCAGCTGCCTCTGTGTGTTCGCTCTCCCTCTTTTGCTCGTTGAGTGCTTCATTTCCTCTCCGAACTTTCGTTACCCTCGACTTTCTCCTGATCTCCAGCTCGTTCCAGATCTTCAACATCAAAGCCATCTGAAGTGAGTGAGTTCCGCCGAACGAGCCTGCCCAACTACTGGATTTGGTGGACCCAATATTCGATATGCGCTGACCACGCGCAAACTGAATCAGGGACTCTCTTTGTGGAGCTTATCATAATGATCAATTCGTCAATAAATACACGTCGAAGCGAGCGCTCAGTCAGTATTCATGCTCCGATCAGGGCGTAATGGACCGTTTTAGGGTCGCTTTCGAGGACGCCGGCTGTGAACACGCGTCGGAAGTCATCCCGGGGGCTCTTTTTCGAACAAAATTCCCCCGACTTGGGATACTCGAAGGGAACTTGTGAAAGAGTCCTAACTCGAGGGAGCGTAACCTTTGCGGGAGTGGTCCTCTTGCGATAGGATAGGAGTAGGGACCATCGCTGCGAGGTGGAGGCGATAAAAAATCATCCGACCATATTCGGAGCTCCTCCAGATCGGAAGCGGACTCTATCCTAATCCAGACGCCAATCGAGAGGAATGCCTCCGATCCGGAGAGTGTGACAGGGAACAGAGTTTTCATCAAAGTTACTCGTCGAGGGAGGTCCTCGGAATCCTCCTCACCGGGATCAAGACGAGTTGGATTTTTCTCGGAGCGAGGTTTTTGGAAAGTTTCCAATCGGCAAAAGCTTCCGTGTCGATGGAGAATCAAGGGCTGAAACTCTATTGAAAGAGGACTGTATCCTCCTGATCAGAGCGTAATAATGTCGTCGGCTTGATCAGTGGTCTCGAGCGGATCTGTATTTGCGGAAAGCTCAGTTCCAGCGAGGGAGCTTTGAGGACGGGATTGAGGATCGTAAGCGAGAAGGATTTGATGGCTAGGCAGTTCCAAATTCGAAAACCCGTCTCATCAGAGAGGATCCTAGCCCTTATCCCTCGCAATCGGCTGATCCAACGCGGAGGTGTGCCGAGGCCCTCTCGAATTACTACTACCCAAGAGCAGTGAGCGGCCGCGGTCTAGGGATAAGGGACTCAGACATGAGAGAACAGAAGAGAATGCGTTGAGAAAAAGCGCAAAAACGTTCTGGTTCGGCTACCGGTAGGCCCTGGCGGGGCGCTCGCTCTGGAGCCTCGAAGGCTGCTGCGAGGCTTTGGTGGAAAGAAGACAGATGAAGACATAGAGAGCGAAATGAGATACGGTAGAAGACAGAAGGGGGCGGGATTTTGCATTTTTCCCGACCGAATCGCGGCGGAAAAAACTTGCGGAGGTGGGAAACGGCGTCAAGTGCTCCCTGAATTTTCAAACCCTCCGTGATTTTCCCTGACCCATTTTATTCCGCCAAGAAATTCAGCATTCGTTGGATTCATGCTGCTTTCCTCTGTTTCCGGAGCGTATATCTTCGGAATACGGTAAGCGAGTTTCTGAGGATCTCGCTGGATATATCGGCGGATCGACAGGGGCATCGGGCGCTCGGTCTCCTAAGCAGCTCGAGTGTACTCGACGACGTCACTTCACGGACACTGTGGATTCCCGAACGCTCGAGACAAAGCCTCGCCGCAGGTCAGTTTTCCAAATTCTGATCTATGACGGGACGCTTGCCTCTGTCAGAATCTGATGAAAAGTCTGAATCGACTATCAGGCGAACTGCATTCGAGATAGGAATCGGCTTCGATCGCCACTATCAGACCACTCTGTCCGATGATGGTTCTCCGATCGGGGGTTTTCGAAGCAGGCAGTGGCCTTGAAATCGCCGTGAACGCCCTCGCTCCCCAAGCCGCGAGAAGGTAACTCCGAGAATTTCTGAGTGCTTGCAGAAGCTCAGAGAACAGGAAACATCGATCGAATGTGGGAGATACTGAATAGGCTTTCTCACTTCAAGGCGGTCCACGGATCGGGGGCTCGCGCGAGCATGAAGACTTTTCATATCGATAGCTCCGGAGTCACGGCATCGCCTACTCCCGACAGCATGTATATTATTCGTTTGTTCTGGGATTTCAGTCCCGTTTTCTCTCATATAATAGTACTCGATTCCTTGGATCACTGGATGTTCGATCCCGATTGGGAATCATTCCCGATTCTCTCCTTACAGAAGGCGGCTTTTGCGTGAGCCGATTCATTTTCGGAAATGATGGCTACCAGACAGGCTCTTCGGCGAATCCCTCTAAGTCTATCCCGTGCCATCCGAACCAAGCAGATGGCTCCTGAGTGTGAAACTCGTTATTCCCCCACCGCCAAGGGCGCGACTCATCTTAACGATTTTGCTCCAATATTTGAGGAATTCGGGAAAATACATATTTGGGGGAAGCGGGTCACTACGCGAGAGATGCAGCCGGCTGGGCTCCGCAGCGTACCGTGTTGGCTGCTTCTGTTTCTGCTGTCGTTGCCTTCGGTCTACTTGTTGTGATGAGGGCAAAAAACTGCATCTTTCGCGTGCCTTATAGCTTCTCGGCACGATTGTTGGCAGCGAGCTCGTAGACCGGCTCCGCCGTCGTTCGTGAAGCGGTTCGACAATGCAAGCACGCTCCCAGAGACGAAGGTCATGCAGCAGTGAGTGAGTGTTTTTGTCGAGCAGAGAGGAAACTCATTGAGCCATGATTCTATTCCCCGAGAGAAGAAAGAACAAGAAACGATACGGCCTACATCTCCAGGAGTTGCTGGGTCGAACTCGCTCGGACGACGAGGGAGATGAGCTTCGAGCCACTCCACATGCAACAATTCCCATGTCTTCCGATCGAAACAGCTGCGAAGGCCTGACGCATCCGCCACGTGGCGTCAAAACAGAAGCGTCCGCCTCTAAGTAATTCGGGGACGAACGAGTGGCCGCGAGAATCCCGGGGGACTCAGTTCCGCAAAGTCTGAAGACTCCGCATGCGGAAGAAGGAGTCCCGAGTTCGGTGGCTGGATTGCGATTGCCTAAGGTTCGAGGAAAGTTAGAGTCGACCAAGTCAACAAGAACCACATGTTGAAACATCCACGAAGCACCGTACGGAGCTCCGTTCGTTTATCTGCTCGATTTGCTGGTTGAATCTCTCCCGAGTTCCTCGTCTCCGCTTACTCCTTAGGCGCGCCTTGGGCGTTTACCGTG